ATAGGCTAGGATTAATTTACAAAATATGTAAAGATTCTTAATGTAATGGCTATAAACTCTCGTTTAATAAAAGTCTCGCATTTAATGTCTGTTTGCGATTAAAAAAAAAAAAAAATAATAAAAATAAATAGAATTAGAATTAGAATATTAATTTAAATTATATTATAATTTTAACTAATTATACTTATGATATAATTAATAAACTTGTCTTATTAAAATACTTGTTATTTAAAAAATTCAATAACAATCAATATTATAATTATTGATAAGTAATAAAATTATAGAAATAAGTAAAAAAAAAATCAAATAATTTTATACTTATAGATATCTTTTATATTGTAAACAATATAAACTTTATACATATATTGATATAAAATAAATTTAATTTTGAAATAGTAATAGGTTTGTTAACAATTTTTTAAATCTATGATTAGGTTGAATTTATTTATTTATTTAATTATAAAAAATTGTTATAAATATAAAAATATATATAAAGTATAAACATTTTTAATCCAATTTATTTATTAATAGCCAAAGTCATTAAATACAATTTGTAAAAATAATATATTGTTTTTTTTTAATAGAAGAAATCAAGATTTAAGTTTTTTAATAAAATTAAAATTTATAAAAAGAAATAATTTTTAAAAAAAAAAGACTTATTTATTTTAATTATCATTATAAAGATTATTTCAATAAACAAAATCCAAGTTTCTTATAATTACATATTTCCTATTACTTGTAATTAACTATATTATTTAATTTTATTAAAGTAAATAATATTCAAAAATATTTAAGAATATTTTTAAAAAAGTATTTTTTAATACTTTATACTTAAAGATTTTTAACAAAAAAGATATTAATTTTTTATTGTTGATTTTTCTTTTAAGTTATATCTTTTGAAATTATTACTTTACTTAATTAATAAATTTTTTTCTTCAACTATTTTTAAAATAAATATTATTACTTCAACTTGTTATTAAATTGGGATATAATTTGAATCTTATAGCTATTTCCAGTCCTTTAGAAAAAAACAGAGAAAGAAAAAATAAATACGTACGTATAATTTTTTTTTTTAAATCATTTAATTATTTTATTTAGGACTAGCCAAAATAAAATCGATATTGATACGTAATTAGACATAGACACACATGTCAATCCAAGATTGATGCGGCTTAATGTTTAACCATTTCTGATAAGATATATGGATATAATAGACATAATGAAATTCACCAGGTCTGGAGAAAAGGAATATCGTTGGATATGATATCAGAAAAAGCCACAGACGATTCATCAGAGTTGAATAAACCCAATATCTGGGCACGTAAAGCGATCATAGATAGAGTATGTGGTTATTAATCTTTAAACGATCTTTAAGCTCTTGTGCTTAGTCGATTCTCATAAGACTTATTTATTCTAAAGCGGTTTCAAAAACTTCTTGACGAAATAACTCCATATACGGTACCAAGATGGATTGGTACTATACTTCTATTAATATTATTTATATTCCGAATCTTCGTTGTACAGGGATTCTACATAGTAACATATGCAAGTATATTTTGTTCCCATCTCATCGTAACAAATACTTGAAGTTAATTCTCCAAATCTAATTCATATTTGATAATAGGCGCTGGGAATCTATCTTCTTAATTTGTTTCTTTCCTTTTTGCAACCTAAATTTGATCCCTCATTGGAGATGGACATTGTAGAGAGTAATGTGGAAGATGGTCCATCGCTCCCGACGAAGGCCGATGAAGAATTCAGACCATTTATTCGAAGATTGCCTGAATTCAAATTTTGGTAATCTCTCATTTTTTATCAACTTTCACAAAGAATTATTACAATTAAATATTCATTCTCTAATTTATCACTTCAGGTATTCTTCAACAAAAGCAATTTTAATCTCTATGTGTTGTACCCTTTTCTCCCTTTTCGACATTCCGGTTTTTTGGCCAATACTACTTATTTACTTTTGTATCCTCTTTGCTATCACCATGAAACGACAGATCAAACACATGATAAAGTATAAGTATGTCTCGATACAGGATGTATTCCAATTAACTTATTTAAAATGAATTTACCTTTCTAACGAATTTATTTTCCATTAGATATGTCCCGTTTGATATCGGTAAAAGACAATATAAAAAATGAATGCGTTGAGCAAGAATTAATATTTTAAATAAATTTATATTAATTTTATCGTTTGTAATGTGTGAAAGGACAGATGGCTAATGGAAACTCATCACTTAGTGGTTGGGATATAAATGATGAATACAACATATTTTTTATATTATAATAATTTTGATCTAGGAAAATTTAATACATAGACTTCGTTTTTAAAAAGCAAAGCAAATGATTTATTAACAAAGAGTCATTTATTTTGCTGATTTATAATCAGCTATGTGGATCATAGGTTAGGATTACAATCTGTATTTTGAAAATGACACATTCGGCACATTTAACATACCTTTTTTAATGAAGATCGTATAATTCGGCTTTATTGTATTTAGTGTATAATATAAAACATTCAAGCTCGAACAATTTCCTGGCACACTTAGCCGTTAAATTCTATAGAAGGCTAAAGTGGTTAAAATCATTTTTTTCGGATATATCTTTGTCCAATGCTTTAGATGCAGTATTAAAATTACTTCTAATTATTAAATAAAATATATTATAATATTTACGTATATTCTTAATATTAATTTTTTTTTATATATGAATTTGTATATTGTTACAATATTATATATACAATTATATTTAAAATTTAATAAATAAACAATTTAAATAAAACATTATAGTTATTTACTATATATTTTAAATAATATAATTAAAATTAATTTACAAATATTATAATTTAATTTATAGTAAATCATTTAAATATTTAATTAATTTTTTACCTATATTAATATATAAAAACTCTCTCCTGATTGCATTTGTTTTGTTGAAAATTTTTCTTTTATAATAAATTTAAACAAGAAAAAATGGGTTATACTCTTTATCACAAGTAAGTTTTAGCTTAATAATTCAAGAAACTGGTGTAATAGGATAGAGCCTTTGATTAAAATCTATCCAAGTTTGGAAATCTTGTCTATCCTTTGGTTGCATAATAAAAAACCTATGGCAGTTTTCTTTTTTTTGTTCTTTCACATTTCTTCATACCTTTACTATATTATAAAAACCATTCATATATACTTGTTAAAATTAAACACTTTTCAAAAAACATACTTAAACAAAATTGTTAAGTTTATTGGTTGTTTTAATACAATCTTTATATATAATCTTACTATAGTAATACTTATTATATCATTTCAAAATTTGTAAAAATTTTTTTTAAAAAAATTGAAATCATTTTATTTTCTTTAAATAATTATTGCTCTCCAATTATTTAATTAGATTTCATTAAAACAATAGAGCAAAAACTAAATCTACTTAAATTAATTTTTTAATATAATAACAACAATAACAATTACTATAATAATAAATAATATTGATTATATACTATTATCTATATTAATAAAATTTATATTTTTAAGATCAGAATTAATACAAGAGTTAGACAATTGACTTTTTTTTAAATATTTTTCTTATTTATATAGATTTTATAATTTAAATAACTTGGTTATAATTTTAATAACTTATATTATTATAGTTCCAATCTATTTTCTTTTTAATTTTTTTTTTACTTTTAATTTTTTTTATATCCAATTAAAAATTTAAAGTAAACAAATATAGTTACTATTATTTATAATTGCTAAAACATAAAAAAACTTTTTCTTGATCATGTTTGTTTTATTAAAAAATTTTTTTATGATAATTTTAAGCAAAAAAAAATATTTTATACTTTTTATTACAAGTAAGCTCTAGCTCAGAAACTTAAAAATCTTTAAGACAACTGATACAATAGGATGAAACTTCTAATTAAAGTTTATTCAAGTTTGAAAATTTTGCTTATCTTTTGATTATATAAGAAAAGATCTGTGACAGTTCTCTATTCTTTTATTCTTTTATATTTCTTTTTACTCTTATTTTATTTTTTTTTTGAAGGAGCAAAAGGCTATTATACTTTATTTTATTATTATAATTTTAGACCTGCAGTATAAAATTTATAACACATTTACAGTATAATATATATCTCTCTTTGCTTGAAAGAGTTAAATATCAGGCTTTGCAAATGCAGTCTATCTTCTGTACTCCTTAGCACCACCCAAGAATATAAAAAAAAAGAAGTTCAAAACCTATATTATGCCTCAAATAGTGTTTAGCTATTTAAAAAAATTGAATACCTAGCCATATAAAGGTGCTGCAACCACTATATACAGGTTGGCCTCCAAGTTATAACTAGGATTGGCAAGCTTGCTTTCCAAATGTGCTTAATGTATGGCAAGCCAAAATATGTTCCATCTTATATTTCCTCTAAATAACTGCTCAATTAGTTAAATGGCCACTATATTGACACAGATATCTTATGGAGATTAGCTTTTCATCCGATCATCTAGTATTTGATTTTCTCTACCCTTCTAGAATTATGGCAGATTATAGGTTGACCAGGCTTGTGGCAGTTGCCTATATCTGTGACAAGTAGGAAAGGGGACAGTCACTTTTCATAAGAAGCTTTGTACATATAGCTGCATTATTTAAGTATTTGAATAGAATCCAGTACCAGTATAAGGTAGAAGAAAGTGGAAGAAAAGTGTTTGGATATATAGTGATGATTGTTAAAGAAAGTTGTTAGACATAATGAAGTTGGAATTTCTTATAGATGTTGTTATCTAACCTTGTACAATAAACCTACATTGTTAGAGAAGTAAGCGAGAAACTTTCATTGTTGTCACCAGCTTGTGTTGCAGGAATAACTAGAATTCTTGGTCTTTACGTATTATTCTATTAGGTTCTCCAATAACCAGCATGACACCTGCATACTAACCTAGCTTATTGTTAGCTGCATTGGCATTGGTTGTCATATATTTCTGGATATAGTAGGGCATAATTTCTTGGATACTTTTGGATAATAATAGTTGTATACCGGTTTCTTAGATATATTTAGTTTAGCTATTAACAAGTAAACAATACCAGATTTGGTAATAATGACCATATTGATCTTTTGGAGAGGTAAGCCATCTGTCCTTTTTCTGTGAGACTATAGAAGAGAGAAAAGTTTTAAAGTCTATGTCTTAAAAGAAGTTATCACTTTTGCATATGGTCTTAAGAAAAGGGAGTCAACTGGCCAGGAGGTTGATGTTATGAAAAGCAAGTTTATAAAAGAAAAAGAGGTCTAAAAAAAAAATCTTCAGAAAGAAAAAAAAACCTAACTTCGACAGGGAAGGGAAAAAAGAAAGAGGAGGAGGTAAGTTTTATATAAAAGAATCTATAAAAAGGAGTGTGAAAATAGGGAAGGGGAAATAAAAAGATATAGGAAAGGAGAAGTAGAAGAGAGAAAAAAGGAGAGAGCGAAGAAGAAAGAATAAATAACTCAAAAGTTTCCTAAAAAGAAAATTTTCAAGCATAGAAGGAGAAGTGAAAAAAAGTTTTTTTATTTTTATTTTATTATAAAAACTATTTATATTATTACTATTATACTTATCAAATCAAATACTTTCAAAATATATACTTAAACAAAATCAATGGATCTATTATTTGTTTCAAGTCAAGTCTTAAATTCAACTATACTATAGCAACACTTGCTGTATTATCTCAAATTTTTTAATATTTTTATTTGGTTAAAAAATCAAAATTGATTTATCTTTTTAGATAATCAATATTTTCTAATCATCCAATAAGATTTTGTTTAAAAATAAAACTAAAAACCAAAATTGTTTAAACTAATTTTATATTACAATAATAACAATCATAACAATAATATTAATCACATTACCATTAACAATTACAATAATAAACAACATTATATATACTCTATTATTTATAGTAATCAAAAAACCAAAAAAATAAAATAACACGCTTGTTCAAAGATTCTTTTGAGAAAATTATTGATTTTCTACTTATAGATTTTATAATTCACTTTATTTGATTTTAGTTTTAATTATATTTATTTTTTTTTCTTAATTATTGTAACATTTAATATATGAAGACATTATAATATTAAGATTAATAAAGAAAAACTTTATTAAATATGAGAGAAACCAAACATCTATATTATTTTCTAAAAGAAAAATAATTTTCTTATATAAATAAATAAGATAATAATACATAGTATAATATAATACATATAATCTTATTAATCCTTCAGAGATCATATACAGTGTGTAACAAAACTTTTTAGAATTATTTATTTATTTATTACTTAAAAGTTACTATATAGAAATTAATAAAAAATATATTAAAATAAAACTGAAAATCTAGAGATTTTATTAATATATAATTAATAATTAATT